GGGCTGGGGGGGAGAGGGGGGGGGGTTCTGGGTTCGGGTGTTCTTCTTTTTTTTGGGGTGGGGTGGGTGTTTGTGTGCGGGTATTTTTTTTAAGGAAGCCATATCGGCATGTGGAGAGTGTATGGACGCGCCAAGCCAGGACGCGTGGAAGGGTCTGTGGGCACCCCCTCTCTCGCCTGGGGGTGGCAAAAGTTGAAGGGAGTGCGCGCGAGGGAGGTCTGCAGAGTTGCTGTCACACGTGTCGCTGTTGATGACGACGGCAGGCGAGGAATCGTCGTCGGGGCCCGTCCGTTTGCTCCACGCTCTCGGTGCGTCGACCCGTGGTCCACCATAAAGGTCTTCCGCTTGCGCCGTCTCCTGCATTGAAGGTCTGCGCACACGGTGCACAGCGACGACATCCAGATAGGACGCCATCTGCCTTCTCTCCTCGTCGTCGCAGCGCAAAGGCACTACGAAGTCGCTCGTTTCTTCGCAGTCGTCGTCGGCTTGGTTTTCTTCGGCGTCGTTGTTTCTTCGCTGTGGATCTTTTCGATCTCCTTCTCGCCGCGGAACCCTCTCGCCGCGGATCCGCATCGCGCCTTCAGAGGTCCGCCGTCCATCAGTTGCCAAGATCTTCTTCTCGCCGCGGAGCGGTGTACGCTGCCTTTGTCTCCTTCACGCGCGGGACTTTATCGGTGTCGTGGTCGATCGTCGCTCTAGATCCCTTTGCTCTCCTTCTCGCCGCAGATCCTTCTCGCCGCGGATATGTATCGCCCCTTCAGAGGTCCGCCGTCGCTTACTCACGAAGTTCCTAATCAGACCGCGGAGAAGTGTCCGCAGGGTTCATATCCTTCTCGCGTTCGCGTTGACGTGGACATACTGTGCGTGGCGAGGGCAAGGACGAATTGCTCCCGAGGGCGGCAAAGGGGCTTGTTCGTCGTGGACGCGAAGAAAGGCATAGCCACAAACGGTCATTGACGGAGGCAGAAGGTATGTCTACGCGAGGCGGCGCCCGTGGGAAGAAGCGGGAAAACATCCCCGCGGACATGCAGGGGCTGGAAAGGGGTCAGCGGCATGTCCCAAAGGCGAAGAGGCTCCGTTCAGAAGAACCATCAGCAAGCCTCCCTCCTCGGCAAGGGCGAACTTGGACGGCAGCCAACGAGGAGGAAGATGACGACGTGTTCACGACGGAGGAGGAAGCAGCAGAGGAGAACGTGACAGCGCCTCGGGGAAGCACTCTTCAACGGTCAGGTGATCAGAGCGGTGCGAGAAGATTAGCGACGCCCCCTCCGGAGGCGCAACAAGTTCGTGCGCACAACACCCAGAAGGCGAAGGAGGTTGTCGTCGATGTCGGCAGCGAGGACGACGAGCCGTTGGAGAGCCGTAGACAACGCAATGTGACACAAGGTGGCACGGCGACGGCAGTCAGGATACGCGCCGCGACTGAAGAAAGACCACCTTAGGGTGGCCTGCCTTTGACGTCGTCCCAGCCGCGGCCGCGCAACACGGCTGCGGAGGGGGGCTCCATGGAACGCGGGGGAGGGGATGGGGCCCAACAAGAAGCGCGCGTGGCGGGTGGGGTTGCCATCGCTGCTGCAGCCGCGGGGTCATCGAGCAATGTTGGTGTCGTGGCGAGGGCGAGAGAAGAGGTCCCAGTTGTGGAGCAGGAGGCGACGCGCGTCAACAACAAGGGTGAAAGGGAGGATGAAGACCCCCTTCTAAGCCGGGTCCGAAGGGGAGGAATGGCGAGAGATCTGGCCGACCGTGCCCGCCTGTGGGTCGATGCCAAAGCGTTCTGGATGACGGGGAGGGGCGAAAACTGTACAACATCATCCACGAAATGCGGGAGTACTTTGTCGCCATCGCTTGCGGAATGCAAACGCCCCCCGTGCCCAGGAGCGTCATCATGCCAAAATCATCGACAACCGTCATAAGGATTGCGGATCCCGCACAACTGGAGCAGGCGATCGCGCGCGCGATGGCAGCGAAGAATATCGCTTTGCGCGTCTTGCATAGATGGGTCTTCAAGTCCGGGAACCGTCCCCGAGGATTCAATGTCGCTTTCCAGTATGCGTTGGAGTCGGTGGCGACGGACATTGCACGCGTCATGTGGAACGGCGAGGAGTGGAGTAACGTCGTTAGCGTGCCCGTTTGCGCGCACACAATCGACATGAACATGGACCTGCCTTTGTGGTTCGAGGGCACGAACATCGAAGACAGGCCGGAAGATGACGACATGGCGGTGCACTTGGAGTCAACCGTCATATGCATGGCGCATGCGTTTCGTGCCGCGGTGCAAATGGGTGGCATCGTCGACGGTGGTTTCATCTCGCACGAGCGTCTGTCTAGAATAGCGGATCGCTTCAGATTGATGTTGGCTGCTTGCATGTGGTTGATGCGCATGGCGGGAGACGATGCGCGCAGCCAATATGAAGTTTTTTACTTCGCAAAGCTCGTCGCGAAGCCCACGCTCGTCGCGTCCATTCATCGCGCTTTCGATCATCGACGATCCATCATCCGAGTCACGAACGCCACCACGGAGAGACTGGGGAAGGTGAACGCAACACTCGGAGAGTACCCGAAGTACATCCCCGACTAGGCTTCCTACGGCATCGTCTTTGGGCAAGATGCGAGCCTAACGGGGCCAGAGGACGCGAAGAGGAGGGATTGGTTGGGTTCCGGCCCCTTGGAGGACAACGACGACGACGACAACGTGAAAGAGGACGCGTAGGGGGGGCGGTCGGGAGGTAGAGGGTGTCGCCGGTGCTTACACGTGCAGCGCGGGAGAGGGTGCGCGAACGGGTCTCTTTTTCCGGCGAGTGCAAGGGAAGCGGAGAGGGGGCAGGTCGAGACGGCGTCGAAGACGAAGTTCTGGTGTCGCCATGTAACGATGACGGATTGTTGATGGCCTCCTCCTTCATTCCGCACGTGTGCACCGTGTCACTCGGACATGCTGACGCCCGACTTTTTCGGACGTGCGCTTCGGTTGGGTGCGTGACGCAACTGCGTTCATGGTTGCTTGTGGACGTTGATGTTGTTTCGCTGTCCATGGTGGAGAAGCGATGGCAGTAGGGGCTCCCTTCGGTAGATTGTAGGTGTTGTGCACCTTTGTTCGATGTTGTGTTCTGTTGTAGTCGGCGCAGCTTGTGGCGAGACAAGTTGATTGCGCTTGAGGTGTCCCCTTTTTTTTTTGTTTGTAAAATTTGAATACAGAACGATATTTCGTCAGTTTTAAGATCTGCGCTCGCTTTGTTTGTTCACTATTTCGTTTTCGCATTGTATGAAATTAGATCGACGGATCGTCAGTTTTAAGATCAACAAGTTGTGTTTCTTGGATGCACATTCAGACGACTCTTCTCCATTTGCGTGTGCAATCGTCGCTCATTGCTTTGTTTGCTTTATTTCTTTTTCCCCTCCCCCTCTTACTCCGATTGACAAACAATACATATGAACTAAACATGTGTTCGTGTCCCACTCCAACACTCGCATGAAGACATAAGGCAGCGCATCAAACTGCATGAAATGTCCCAGAAAACATACCATGAATATGCAATGGCACAGAGAATGAACACAAAGAAAAAGCAACACACAATATAGACGCAATGACATACACACACACACACACACATACACACCGCCAACACGCAACTGAAATGGACGAGGCATACTTAGAAAGGGATTTGCAATGTCGTTAAGCAATTCATAGTTAATAGTTCAAAATCGAAGCTAGGTGGGGGAGAAGTTCCACGCCCACCCGAATCACGAACACTACTCTATCCTTCGTGGCGAACAATCGCCGCGCTTCGCACCCGCAGTGCGCCGACTCCGCACTGCACAACTCCAACGGCCACAAGTGTACTCTTAAAAAAAAAAAGAACAAGAATATAAAAAGGAGGGTGACGCACGTCCGCGTACCGCGACGACAAACCAAGACGACCGTCGACGCAAACAACGAGCCCGACTCAGGACAAAAGCCAGCAACTCAATTAAGGCTGGACGGAATGACTGATCTGCCCTCCGTCCACTGCAGTGAACGTGCTCCCATGCGCGGCCGTCCAGCAAGGGGAACACGACCCTCCACTCAAACCACCAACCCCGACGGGCGACAAACGACAGCAGGACGGAACAAGGATTCTGCCCTCCGCCCATTGGTGCAATGAATGCACTTCCACGCGCTGCCGTCCACAAAAGAAACACGACTCACTCGTATTTCAATCTTTCCGCCAAAGCATCCCTCAACGCCAACGCTTCGTCTGTCGACGTCAACATCGAAACAGGATGGAGGGGCTGTTCAATCCCCAGGTCCACACGTCGTCGCACACCATTCGCGTCGACCTCCCACAGCAGATTCTCGTCGAAGGGGATTCCTGCGTCGATCAGCATGTTGTGCAGTATGCAGACGGCCGTGACCTGATGCGGGAGCGTGTCCAGGTTTGTCTTGTGTGTCCGCAGAAACAACCGACACATGCCCTTCAGCCTGCCGAACGCCCTCTCCACCGCTCCCCTCGCCACCTTCTGTTTGTTGTCGAACCGCTCCTCGCCGACGTGTTGATTGATGCCTCCGTACAGGACCACCATCCATTCGGAAGGGGGGTATCCATTGTCCGCCAGAATGTACCCGTTCGTCTTCACACGGAACGGCAATGTGACGGGGGGACCACAAAACAACGACCCCTCCTCTGCGCGCTGCAACAGGCTGGACAACTGCAGCACTCTGATGTCGTGGCAGCTTCCTGGGTATCCCATGTGCACGTCGAGCACACACAAGTCCAGGTCGACGACAACCTGCCCTACGATGGAGAAACGACGCTTCCTGTCATAGTAGTTCTCGCTTGGAGCGTTCGCCGGCTTGTCGACGAAGACGTGAGTGCAATCAATGCAACCGTGACAGTTGGGGAACCCTTTATCAGCAAACGCCCGCAGAACGACGAGTTTTCGAAGTTCCGTCGGCCATGCGATCTTCTCTCTGAAGACTCTTAGCAGCGCGGCAGTAATGTTGCGGATGACAATCAACCCAGAAGCTCGCCCAATCCCGAAGTTGCATGTGCTGCTCTTGTACGTCTCTTCTGAAGCCCACCTATACAACGCGTACGCCAAAATGTGGTCCGGCTGCAAAGGCTCCCTGTAGAACGTCACCCGCCCCTGATGATGAGGCGCACACGCCTCCGCGATTTCCCTGAACACTCGCGGCGACATTCGAAGCTTATCCAGAAAGTAGTCGTCTATCGCATTGTCGCATTGCCTCAAATCTTCCCACGTGCCTCCTGTCCTGCGCTTCACCCACCACCGCGGCGTCGCACGTGGTATCACTCCGCAACCGAGCGCGTAGCACAGCTGAACAACAGCCTCCGACGTCACCACGTAATCGGCCCCATCGAACGGATCTTGCGTCAATTTCCTCCATCTACGCGCACGCAACTGGTCCTTCAGTCGCCCCAGCGCCCTCTCCTGCTGACATCGAAGAACGATCGTGGACACAGCCGCCGCCACAGCCTGCAGCTCACGACGACTCAACGGATCACGTCTACCCTCTGCGCCGCCCTCCATAGCCGCGACGTCGAAACGGTCCCGTCGTTCCGCTGCCGGCTGTGTCATACTTCCGCACGCATCGAAGAAGTCGAAGACGTCCGACGAAAGGCGGCCCCTTTTCTGTGTCGACAGTCCCGCAAACGGCGAAGAGGAGCAACGCGCAGTCGACGCGTGCAAAGGTCCACAGCGATGGAAGCGCCGAACGCTGCCTGCGCAGTCGCAACGGCCTGGGGATGGAACCTCCGCCGCCGCTCAGCCACTTCCCGCAGCACGCCACCCTCGTGCCGCCAGGCACACGTGGTCGTGGTCGTCGCAGCGCTAGTTCGAATTTTGAATTTCAAATGCCCACGCCCTTGAGGTTAATTTCTTTTCGCGTCGGCCGACGTCCGCCGTTTCCTGCCTTGCGTCGCTGGACCACGCCACCTCCACACGGACAGAAGAAGCTGGACCAAGGACGTCCGACCCCGTGGCCGCTAATTTACATATGAAACTGGCCGCGGGAAAGCCACAAGGAAACATCTTCGGGGAACGTCCCCAAGGATGAGTGGAACGACGCCGCAAATTCCCCTAAAAATCCACAAGGACGTTTCCATGTGGCTCAAGGAAACCGTAAGGAGTGTCTAACGAGGCCCTATTACTGTACACCGTTTACTGACGCCCGCTCCACTGTCCTCAACATCCACCGCCGCCTTTCCCACCCTCGGCCTCCGACTGACCCCCAGCGCCCAACCACCTCATTTCCTCGCCCGCCCACCCGGTCTCTGAAATCCGAAATTCGCATTCGCATCACATCATACCCCATCACAACCCAGTGGACCTTCCCGAAAAGGAAAACTGGACGCCATCCACGAAAAGGCTCGCACAACCGCCTCCACCTACCGCCGGTTCCCCACTCCTCACACCGCCCCTGTGACCGGTCCCTCTCGCCACAGCGACCACACCCTTCCCGCCGACCGCTCCCACACCGATAAACCCTGCTTCGCATGGAATACCGTTAACGACATTTCCACAAAAGGACGTTCCCGCTGTGCGCCAAAACGAAACCGGGTATAGCGCAGCCTCCTGGCTGGGAACTGTATATCTGATAGCTAAGATAGCTTAAGTGCACATTCCTGATGAGGATTCAGACTAGTATGTTCAGGGTAAAAAGACCGCAGGTGCACTATCAGCCTTGGATTGGCGCAATTCCTCAACAGCAAACACAGCCTAATCTCAGACGATGGAGTGCCGATCTGCAGTTCGTCTACAGACGGATGAAGAGACCATTGACGCTTCAACACATTATCGCTTTGCACTTGCACGGTCCATCTCTTTGCTTCCAGACGACAAGGGGAGAACCCACTCTCATCAGAGGTAGGTGGCTCCCTGATCCAGTGCGATTTGCCCTGGCCAAACGAACTGGGTTCCACACCGGCTTACTTACTGCAGTAGGAAAAGGATGTTACCACTGCAGTAAGTCAGCTGGTGGTGGGAACAGGATGTTACCACTGCAGTAAGTCAGCCGGTGGTGGGAACAGGATGTTACCACTGCAGTAAGTAAGCCGGTGGTGGGAAAAGGATGTTCCCACTGCAGGAAGACGTCAAATATAGAGCTTGAAAAAGTTTCATGCGACCCTTTCAGTTTTTTGTCTCCCATCGGGAAAGTTGCGGAAACTGAAAGGGGTGGAAGGCACACTCTACGGATTCCGAGCAGCTTGGCGAGTCAGGCGGAGGTCCATCAGAAAAACCACAGCTGTGGCTGGGCACTCTCTCCACCATCAGGAGAGAGTGCTTTTCAAAGGGAAAAGGTATAAATCCTCCCCATGACGAAAGCTTTGTATTGACACGAAAAGTCCTTTTGGGGCCTGCGGCACTTTTTGCCCAGATTGGGGGGAAATGAATACAAAGGTTTCGTCGTGGGGTGACTTTTCCCCTTTTTTAAAGGTGATTTCCGCCAGCTACCTGAAGGTTTTCATGCCTTCAGGAGTGAAATCAGATAGTTACTTCAGCGATAAAAAAAAGGGGTAACTACGGCGCAGTCACGAAAGCAGTTTGTAAATGCATTTGAAACTCCATTTTTAGCAGTTTAGTCAGGGCCCGAGTTTCAATTGCAGTTGAAACTCGGGCTGGGCAATTCAGTCAGGGCCCTCGTCTATCCACGAACAGCAGATTAAAAAAAAAACAAAAAAAAAACATCCCTTATGCTGTGATTGCGGTCCTATACAGGATGCTACAGTGTTTGTCTGGAACTGAATGAAGCGAGGCAGTTATCCCACCACACTTACCGTAAGTAAAATATCCATTTTTTTGGTATCCCACCGGCTTCCTTGAATCCCGGGGCCTCCGGTGTGAACGGAGTGATGTGAAAATGGTTCAGGACGTGGCGTTCGTAGAGTGAACTTCGGGAGCTCCGTTTCGCCGTTTTCGTAAAAGCAACGGGCCCATACCCTGTTCCGAAAAAGCTGTTGTGTTTTTTTCCCCTTTTTTTTTTTTATTCTTCCTGTCCGTTGCCGGGCCTGGTTCGTCTGTGGTCTCGAATTTCGTGCGACGTGGGAGCCCGGGTATGTGCGGTACTGCAGCCACCACATTGTACAGAAGTACTGCACGTACTTGCCGACCTAGCCACAGCCGCTCCGCCTCCTGGTGTACAGCCTGCCGCCATATCCAGCACGTTGGCGAGAACAGCGTGTGGGCATCGTTCCGAGAGCGTTGGCTCGAACAGCGTACAGCCATCGTTCGTTAGTGAGTGTGAAAAAGGGGGCAAGGTCCTCATCATCCCTTTTTGTTTCCATCTCTCTCTCTCTCTCTCTCTCTCTCTCTCTCTCTCTCTCTCTCTCGCTCTGTGAGTAAGTGCGCCGCCGCCGACGTCCAAAGAGGCATCTCTCTCTCTCTCTCTCTCTCTCTCTCTCTCTCTCTCTCTCTCTCTCTCTCTCTCTCTCTCTCTCTGTGTGTGTGTGTGTGTGTGTGTGAGTACGTGCGCGGTCATTATAGCTGCATGTGGGCACCTTTCAGTCCCGGTGCGGTGAAAATGATGGGGTTCTGTATTCGGGTGAATAGACGGTAGGTAGTGCAATGAAACCAACGAGCACGTAGTCACACTCGAAGCAGGCGGGTTGTCTGTGTGTGTGTGGGGGGGGGGGGGGGGTGAAATCTTTTTGACAGCGCACGAGCTTCAACCTGTCTCTTATACACATCTAGATGTGTATAAGAGACAGGATTAGGGCTGTGCAGTGGAGGCGAGTAGAGGTTACACGGAGGTCTTATGACTTTGAATCCCTATTTTGCTT